CCGGCGTGAACATCATTGAATAAAAGGAATGGCTAAATGGCCCGGCAATAGGAAATACGAAAGACATGCGGTGAACAAAACAATGTTGTCTGCTAAGTGTTTCTGTCATCACCCGGGTCACGGGGTGTTAAAAACAAAACAAAACACATCATGCCATTGTTCAAACATAGGTTATATCAAGCCCTACTAATGTTGACCTTTTTTTTTTTTATTGCTGGCTGGCTGACCTTTGACCCAGAGATGTCAAAGTCAATTTGGTTTAATTTTCCTTATCGCTGCTATTTTTTGGGAAAAAAAACAAAACTTTTCGTTTCTGGTGGTCAGGAATTGCAGATAAATCTTTTGCCTTTTACTAAAGATTTCTGTGGCTGGGTGTCAATTTTTTTAACCCCTGGCAGTCATATAATTGAAAATTACCAATGGACTTTGTCACATTTTGACCCCCTAGGAATGTTGATTTCCTTCAAAACTCTCAATTTTATGCCTGAAATAGTTTGATTATGATTTAGGCTTTCTGATTTTCAAAAAAAAAAAAATAATGGTTAATTTCCTTTTAATGCAAAATTTTCACTATTTTTTTCATATTTTACCCACCGAAAAAAATTTTGAGTTATTTACACCAGCCAATTTTACTTTTAAATGAAAGAATATATCCTTTGCTTTCAGAAAATACCTAGTTTCATGGGGTTCAGAAAATACCTAGTTTCATGGGGTTCAGATCTAAAGTTTCCTTGATATTTGTTTAGATGATGATAAAACAGTGATTTTTCAATATTTTACCCCTATAAAAGTATGAAAATCCATTTTTTGAGAGAAAAATAAGCTGTGACAAAATGACTTTTGCCATTTTTGTGATGATTTTTAGTTGGGACAGAAAATTTTTACCATAGCAAACCTGAATTGACTTTATTTAAGTTCAGCGGGTCTATAGGAAACCTCAAACAGCTGTGGCATGCATATATATATATATATATATATATATATATATAAATAAAATACAGCACAATGAGTGCTTGAGATAATAAAACAGTGCTCATTGTAAAATAAGAACTAAAATTTGTACTTATACTAACCAGGTTTTGTACAGGTCCTGGTAACCTTGAAAAGTCCTGGAAAATTTCCAGGGCCCGAAATGTCCTGGATAAACAATAGCCCAAAAGCTCCTTGAAAGGTCTTGGAATTTTGTAAATTGGGCTGCCCACTCATCCCTTTTCTCAATTCATGAAAATTAAAATGCAAAACCACAGAAATCTGATTTTTTTACAAGCTAAAATTGTCCTTTAAGAAAAATGAATTTTTTTTAGCCATCAGTAATATTTGGCAAATATTGTGAATAGTGGTTTGTTTCCTTGACAAGTCCATGACCTTGTAGTTACTTCTGTGTTTTCCTGTCTAGGTGATGAGAAAAGATATGAAGGTTTATCTTCACCTAGCTGCAGCCTTTACTCAATGAGAAAAGAGGAAAAGCAAAGATAAAAGGTGTCAGAGACAAGAAAAATCTCCCATCAAAGAAAAATTAATTCACACTCATTGAATTTGTAGTTGAAAGGAAAATAATAAATTATTCTACAGTAATAAAATACATTTTAGTAGAATCTCAAAAAGTTTATTAGTGTTTTTTAAAATTTGAACAATTGAAGAAATTTTATTTACATGTCAATTTCAAAAGTAAAAAGTCCTTTTGATCTCTATTCAGTGGTGAATGAGTTCATGCTGAAAATATTGATACTTTACGCGTCCTGTGTCAATTTTTATTGATGTGTAAACTATGTTTGTTTAAATTGGTGCCAAAAGTAACAAGTTTGAGAATCAAATTTGACTCGAAGAAAATGTAAATGGGAAGGATGATAAAATAGAAAATGTGCCTTTGATGTATCTTCTTAGCATAGGATAGAAAATACATCTTTTAAAAAACAAGAAGAATGTTGTTTTTTTAAACTTTGTAGGCTAATAATGACCTGTATCTCTAGCTTTTGTTGTAATATATTAAAACTTATTTGGCTTTTATAGCAAATTCAATCTGGCAACCCTGTCCCTTTACTTTCATATTTCTGCCATAGATGGCTAGAAAATGTACAAAAATGTGAATGACTCCTAGACATTTGGCCAGATGTCATCAAAATTGTGAACTTAATTTAAAAAAACAGAAAAATGTCTCCAGATCAAGTCCTTCTCTGCTGTGCTGTCAAATATGAATGACATTTTATTTCCAATGAAACTGCAGATTTTTGTGTCAGTTTCGAAAGACATTGAACCGTTTTGGATAAAATATCAAAGTGATAAACTGTTACTTCCTTTCCTTACCAATGATCTTTTTAAACTGTTAAGAAGATTTGTATAGGAAGAGTACACTAAAAAGATAATTACATTTTCCAAAATGAATGAATTTGTAAGAATTTTGTCAAACCCAAACATGCAAAGATAAGTATGGATTTCTGGCAGATAGGGTATGCAAAATTTGTTCAAAAATGGAAATGTGTTAACAAAAGATCTGTTTGCATGCAGAATTCCAACAAAGACAATGTTTGTTACTATCATTGAGAAAATTCTGACAATTCTGTAAGGTCATTTGCATGGCTGAATACTGGATCCATTTGTGAAAAAAAAATTGCTGTCTTTCTCATATGATGGGCAGAAAACAAGTCAGTAAGTCTGATTGTGATGACATCATCAGTCAGTACAAAGTGTTCATGGAGGAGGCTGCTGGAAATATTGCTTTCAAGAATTTCAGCAAGCATGAAGACTGTCAGGACAATTTGTTTTACTCTTTGTCTAGCAACAAAGAATATTAAAAACTATGGAAAGTTGTTTGCAGATTGCTGATACTCTCTCATGGACAGGTCTTAGTGGAGAGAAGTTTCTCAGTCAATAAGGAAATTTCCACTGACAATATGAAACAGCAGACTCTGGTTGCACAGTGCATTAGCACAGACTATTTGGCCACAGTTGGAGGTGCTGGTAATGTTCCTTCTCTGCAGTGCTTCCAATTCCAGAACAACATACAACCAATACCTTAAGGATGTGAAGAACAGAAGACAATAAACACAGGCTTGAATGTTGCACACACAACTTTTTCAAGTCAGCTGACAGCTATGAAGAGATAGCTGAGCAGACTCAGAACTTCACATTTATTACAAAGTCCAATGCCATGCAAAGATCTACAAAAGACAAGTCCATAGAGCTATCAAAATTGGAAGAGGAGCTGAATGCTAAATTAGATGAAATGAAAAAATGGTAACATCATTGAGTGCCATGTAAATCAAAAGCCATGAGTAGTAGGTGTAGCTAAAACGTGTAGTCTTTTTTGTGAAAATTTCTATTTGTAGTTCTGTTCATTAAAATCATTATACTTAACTTCACAAGAAATGTGCAGCAGTCAAGAATTTTTGTGACCTTCACAAACCCTGAGTAGTCTAGATAGTTGAAATGTGTAGCAGTAAGAATTAAAGTGTGTCATTCAAAATTTTCACGTGTAGTAGAACTCCAAACTGTAGAATGCTACACAAAATGTGCAACCTAACCAGGTCTGCATTCAGTTGTGTTTTAGTCTTCAACACTTTGATTTCTTCACTGCTTTCAACTGATCCATGTGACCTGGATTATTGGAACCAACTGAACTGTAGCTTTTCTTTGAACATCTCATCTGTCAAATTATTGAAAGACAAATCACAAAGCTTGTGTTTTTGAAATTGATGACCATTCACTTTGTGTGTTTGCCAGTTTTAGTCCTCAAAACTTAGTCCTTGAAAAGTCCTGGAATTTTGTTTACACAGATCTGTGGGAACCCTGAGAATATGCAGTTTGTTCTTCATCATTTGATACAGCTCTCCATATACTCTTTAATAGTAGGACAGCCTAAACTCTTTAGACTTGGCTGGCAACCAGTCTAAGAGAAGGACAATTTTGAATTTAAAACCTGAGGAGGGCTGTTTGCACTATTTCTCTATATTCAGTTCTGAAAAGCATGGCTGGTTTTACACAAGCTTTTACCACTATGATCAAATCATATATGGTGTAGTCTGACTGTTCAGTTCTAGAAGGTGAATTGTTGGACCCTCATACATCAAAGAAGATGAGAGAGTTCATATATATATATATATATGACAATTTTATTAAATTCAACCTACAAGGACTGTCTAATCTGTTATCTATTTTTTTCTATTTTCAAAATTATTTTCAAGTTGCTGCTCATCTGGATCAAAATTGCATATAGCCTATTGAAGGGTCATGTTATGTTTTTGGTTGAGTACTTCTGACTGTCTTGATCATTACCAAGAATTAAATGTCTGTATAATAGAAAAGAAAATCTTTAATAATTTAACCAAAGCTATATGTTTAATATATTGATGACATGTTCATACTTAGACAAAATAAAAAACCTTTTAAGAAAACTCACCTGATTTATGAATGTATCATTAATAATAAAATCCCTTTCTTCTACATTTTAGTAGATGTTGTCAAAATTTTAGTACTTGATGTACTTTTATTACTTGATTGTATTAAAACACGCTAGCAAATGCTTTTGTCTCTTTAATTACAAAAGTGAATCATCTCCTCACAGATCTGAAATAGCTGTGATGAAGGACATGATTATCAAAGCAAAAATAATTTCTTATTAAACATTTATTGAAAGTAATTTCCCTGACTGTTGTCAATGAGCAAATAAAATTAGCTTTTAAGAATTTTACACAAAAAAATGGCACAAATATCCTGATTTAAGCAAAAATCAAAACATCAACTTATTCTATTATAACCAGATTCATTCTAACCATCAACAAAGATGAAAAAGTCATTAAAAAAAGAATTCAGCATTTCGTATTACTTAATGATGTCAATAAATAGCCTTTTTGTCTCTTGAAATTTTAAGACTAATTTGAATTTTCTGCGATATGAAATCATGTTGCTTCTTCCTATTGAATCTGAATTTTCCCTTCAGTTTTCCTGTGTTTTTTTGCTTTTTCTATATTTTCTCTAACTGACTTTAGCCATTTTCATTTCAG